CATACTATCTGAGGGTGATGAAAAGGCCAAAGACATCTTTATGGTACAGTGACTGACCATTTTGAGTTCTGCCCTTTGCTGGGCAGTGAGTGAGACATGGAGGCAGTTTAGGAGAGAGAAGGAACTGCTGTCAAAAATACTTGAGTTTCATCCTATAGTTAACCTGTAACATGCTTCTTCCAAAAGAAAATAAAAACAAATCAAAGCAAAACACAAAAATCACCAAAGCAAATACATATTTGCCCTTGTCCAGTCCCATGGTTAATGAATATTATTGGATGTTACTCAACAATCACATCCTCCAGTCCTTTCAGTGCCCCTAGGTTGTGGTTCATCTAGGTCAGGTGACATGAATTTATATTCCCCCCTCAGCATACCCTGGAGACTAATTTTAACCTGATTTTTCTGGGAAGTGGCATTCTTGTGTGTGTGCAGGCCTTGGAAATGGACAAATTCTACAAATCAAGGCTCAATTTATCTTTTTATTTACTGTTTAGACTTAAGAAAGTGATGGAGAAAATGTTAATAATGCAGATTAAACATTAAAATATGGTGCTAAACATTTACTGGCACACTCCTGGGGGAGAGGGAAGTAAGGAGAAAGTACAGTGGAATTTGCCTGAAACAGGTCCTTTCATTCTTTCTTAGATGAAAAACAGCTTTAATTCAAAGGATTTAGAGCTGAAAGTATTTTAGAGACCAATTAACCCATCCCCCTCTTTCAATAGATGAGAAAACTGAGGTGCAAAGAGGTTAAGTGATTTACCCAAGATCACAAAGGTAATAAATAGGAGAGTCCTGACTTCAGACACCAGTCTTCTGACTCCAAATCCATGGTTTTCTGCAGCATGCCATATGGGCCTTTTAGGGTTGATCTGCTCCGATTTTATTGTCTTACTTAAAAGAATAAAAAGAGTGTCGGGAATTTCAGGTTAAAAAAAGAAGGGTCAGTGGTACCATAGTAATGGAGACATTTGGAGCAAAGCAATTTGCAAGGGGATACATTTGATTATAGTAATATTTTAGAGTAGGAATGATCCACACCTTGCGGATCAAAAAAGATAATTTTTTTTTTAAAGGATAGGGCTGGAATCTGTAAGTTCATTCATGTACAAAACTTTTGGGTGAAGAAGCCTATTGACCAAAGGAGTGTGGCACCCTTTCTGCAATTTATAGCTTTTTTCACACCAAAGTGGTTGTATCAAACTCAAATTGAAACTAGGGTCACTAATTCATACATAAAGACTTACATATATGGACTTCATATTGACAGTTTAAAAATGCATTATTATCTATGTTTCATTGTATTTTTATTTATTTTGTTAAATATTTCCCAATTTCATTTTCATCTGGTTCCAACTGCACTGTAGTTTGATATTTCTGGCCTAGAGTGGTAAAAGGTTAGAAGATTTGCCAAGAGACATACAGCCATTCTGAAAGCACAGGACAGACCAGACCTACCTCAGGTCTTCCTGGTTTTGAACCTGCTCTCTATACACTAAACAATACTACCCCTCACAATATATATCAAATGCTTAGCAAATCTTTAAGACATGATGCAAATTTAATACATTAAATTTCAGCTGCAAAATGAGTATTGCCCTTTGTGTTACAGCATATTGATGGTCACTTTTGGAGAAGCCTTAATCAAAATGTTGAGCTTAAGTGCAAGACTGGCTTTGATTGGGCAGTTTGAGGAAAGATATTTAACCTGGTCATCATGAAGAAAGGATTCACCATTATTATCCAACTTTATTTAAACACATTTGTTCTCAGTAGTGTACCTGGGAACTTAAGTGCTTACTTACATTTCAAATGGTCAGTGATTTGGCTGAAAAACTATATTTAGCACCTGTGTTTCAGAAGAACAAATTCCTTCCACAGCAGAAGTAATATCCTTATTGCTTCTATCTATAATTCTTTTTTTTCCTGTAATTATTCATGGTCCTCAGTTATAAAGTAGGTATAATAAGACTTACACTTCTTGCTTCACAGGGACTTGGTAAGTAAAGAGCTTTGAAAATGGTAATAATAACTCATAATACTAGGCACAGAACAGGTAGTCCCAAGTACTTAAAGAAATAAATAGGGAAGGCTCTGAATTAAATTATGACAAGTCTTGTTTATTTTCAAACTCATGTAATCTTTGCTATAGATTTAAGATTTTTTGTTTTCTTTTTTCTTTGGAGGGGAAAAATTAAAAAAAATATATTTTTTTGTCTTTCACTGAGTCCCTTTCTTCTCTCTCTTATTCTCTCTATCCCCACTGACTTTGACCAGAATTTACAGATGCCAAACTTCTGAAGGCCATAATACACAAGACTGATATGTTTTAAAAGAGGGCAAGACTGTGATTGGGGGTAAGAAGTTTGGTTATTTCCATTGCATAAAACAAAATCTGAAGAAAGCCAAGTGATCTGGAGTAGATGTCAACATATTCTCTGAATAGACATTTTGCTTTTTCTGATTTAGTGTTTCCCTATAGTTAATACAGAGCAATCGGTGATTTGGCCTGTGATCTTTATCTATAAAATCGGACTATTTTTTTCCCCAGTCAATTGTTGTTGAGAAGTTGTCTAAAAATTAAATTTGACTTCTGTCAGAGGATCATTTATAACAGCTTGATGTCATTACCATCGTTATGATTTTTAATTATAAAATTAATAAATATCAGAACAAGCATGATAAAACATAATTCTTTTGTTAGTCCTCTTGGAATGATTTTCTTTAGAAAAATAATCAGGGAGACCTTCTTTGTCCTACTAATTAATTGATCATGCTAGTAAATCATTTAAAATTTTATTGAAAAATAACATAACATTAGTTATTAAGTGAATTTACTTATAGGGCTAACCCTCAACATTAAGGAAATCACGTGAAACGACTCAAGTAGACCAAATTTTACAAAAAAAAAAGTTGAATCATTTAAGACTTCATAATAACATCAATTTAATATGATACAGAAGGAACAAAATATACATTTTAATCAGCTTCCTAAAGCTCATTTAAAAATAGAGATCTGTTGTTCGAAAGACTTGGGCTTTTTCTCTCCTCTAGAAATTTTTGAAAAAAAAAAAACCAAAAACCAAAAACAAAACAAATAAAAGCAATCCACAAAGTCCTATATGCACATTATGTAGAAAGGCATTTTTCCTCACTTGGTTATTTTGAAGGACAGGAAGGAATAATGCTGCTCATTGCAGATGTTGGTCTCCAATCTAATCTTTCAATTAGAATGCCCATATTTTGAAATTGAGAGCTCATAGACATCTTACTCTGGAGGTATACTAATTAGGAAGCGTAAGCAAGCATTTGGTACGAGCTCTGATCATTCAAATGCTGAGAGTAATTTTGGGCAAAGAAATTTACTGTGAGATTATTCTGTCAATGGAATAAGGGCACTAATAAATGAGTTAGTAATGTGAGCAAATTCTGCTATTGAATAAAAAAAAAGTTGCATCTAATAGAGATTCCCAGCTACAGGATTCAACGTTCTACCAACAGACCCCTCCAGCACCTCAATGATCTCTTATATCCAGTCTCATCCTCTCTGCTTATTCCAGACAAATCTACTTACTTACTCCCTTCAGTATCTACTTCCTCCACCAAGGCCTGTCTTATTCTTAGCAATCTTAGCATGTCTTTGACTTCACATAGAATACTCCCCATTAATTCTGATCTGAGTCACCCCAACTACCCCTCATTCCTACTATATATCTCTGTATACCTGGGATATTCCACATCCACATTTCTAAGGTTCCTGTTCCTTGCTTTTCCTAGTCTATATTTGCCGTGTTGCCATTCATTTGAAATCTCTTGTAGGGCAGTCACTACTAATGTCTTTCTGCTTCCCTTGCAACTCCCCACAACATTAGCATTTAATATGCACTCGACATAGTGATGTTTTATAGGTATTGATCATTTGACTGACATAAAACCTTAGTAACTTTTTCTATAGCAACAGAAAATTAAGAAAGTACTCTACTTGGAGAAGACTCAATAATTCAGAAAAATATGCAAAATGAATGAATGAAAACACATTTATTACACTCCTATAGTATGAAAAGCTCTTGTCATATATAAAGTGAAATATATACTTAGTTTTTGTTAGTCTCCTGAAGCATGCTGTACAGACTATTACATTTTTGAAATGGACTAAAGGATGGAGAGTGTCCATGCTAAGTAAGGGGGACTCTGCTAACTTCATGTCTTTCTGGACATTCAATAAATGTTTGTTGAATCAAATTGATTCTGTTCATAGTCATCTATGATGTCAGAGTATCATTCTTGGAACAGGTTTGATTTTTTGTTTTTGTTTTTTCTTTTTTTCCCCACTCCTCAGAAGGAAAATCAGATATTGCAGGTGGTATTCTTTGGCAGGTTATCTTGATACATAGGATTCAAAATGCTTTGAATAATAATGATTTAAAAAGTCACCAGAATGTTCATTCTTTCATTCAGATAAATACTGTAGCTTTCTAGCAATAATCAATTGCACATCTCTTCATACACAAACTGTCGGGTTCTCATCTCAGGGTGATAAAAAAATTCATAAAGTTATCCAGAAGGAAATCTAGTGCAATTGTTATGAGGTCCTCATGATGACCCTTAGAATATTTATTCTTGGTGGAAATTAAAATCAGCTGTTCTTGACAAATCTTTGTAACATCAAAACAGGACCACCAGTAAGTTATCACGGAATTCAATAGGCGGCTTCAATCAGAAACCTACACTTAACTTTTTTTTTTAAATTTTTAGGGAATTGGGGTTAAGTGACTTGCCCAGGGTCACACAGCTAGTAAGTGTCAAGTGTTTGGTCTGAGGCCAGATTTGAACTCAGGTCCTCCTGACTTCAGGGCTGGTGCTCTATCTACTGCACCATCTAGCTGCCCCTTACACTTACCTTTTTTTTCCCGGTCAAATGTTTTACCAAATCAAAGGCTTTAAAAGAAGTTACAAAACAAACATCTTCCATGGAAGTCTTCTGTTTCCATTGGAGTCTAGTCTTCTTGCTGAGAAAAGCCTCCATTCTGCATACAATTGGATGGCTCAGACTCTGTTATATTTTTGCTGTTTTCTGCAAATTCCGTCTTAGTTTTGCCAGACCATTTCTTGTAAAAGATGTAGACTAGAAAAAAAAAACACATATGCACACATTCAAGATTACTAACAGAAAGCTGCCATTGATAGTAGGCTGCAAATATTCCAGGAAATGATTGTGAACATGATTTTTCACTCATAAAATACTTTTGCATTTCTGAAAGGTCACTGAATATTCTAAAGTAAAGGGAACACTTAGAGAGAGTACTTTGAGAGTGTACTGAGACTGAAGCTCATGCATAGGTGTCCTGAACTCCTGTAGGACACAGTACAGAGCTACTGTGTGACATGTGAGAATGAATGCCTGCTTTAAGCACAGTTTTCATGTAAAGTCGTCAGCAAGAAAACCATTTTGTAAGACTTTGTTGATTATAAAGAATAATAATTCCTTTGATTTTTCTGCAGAAAAGGACAAAACCCCCAAATGCGAATACCTTGTGAGATGGTAATGATTCATCTTATTACGAGGAAGTGAGAAGGGGAAGAAAGCATTGTCATTTGACTTGCTCAGTGTTCCAGAGTAGTAGAGGAGCTGTTGGGACTATCTAGAAGGAGTACATTATAGACCACTAGACCTGGAAGGAACTTTAAAAGATCGAATTATCTAATCATCTAATCATCAGATAAAGAAACTGAGGTGAGGTATCCAAAAACTGACTAGAACTTAGCTCTTCAGATTTTCCAGTTGAGTGCTTTTTCTATTAGAGGGTGGCAGAGTAGACAAAATTTTAGACCTGGACTCAGGAAGATTCAGGTTCAAATTTTGTTTCTGGCACTTGCTAGTTTATGTGATCATGGAGAAATTTGACCTTTGAACTGAGTCTTAGTTTCCTTTTCTGCAAAAGAGGGTAAAAATATCTGTTTAAAAATTAGTAAATGGTTCTTCATTTTCTCCTTTTCTATATATTTTAAAGAATCCATGATTTCATCAATTTGGTACTAATTATACCAACACATATCTCAGTCTCTTCATGCTTTAGAAAATGGTTTCATGGAGTTTATTGTGGTCAAAAATATCTATCATCCAGTAGTCAACTTTTTAGAGATGATCCTTTCTGAAATTAGTTAAGTCTATTCCTCAAGCCTGTAGTAAATGCTTTGTAAACTTGGTAGGACTTGCCTGAGATTGAATTTTCCTGGTATGCCCTTCAAGAGAGTAGGGTGACTTCTAAGTCCCAATAATAGATGGAAAGATTAGATCAGTGATAGAGTATTTATTATATGCTTACTATGTGCCTGGCATATACTAAACTCTGGAGATAACTAATACAATAAAAAAGACAGTCCCTACTCTCAAGGAACATGCATTCTGATGGTTAATGCAACATATTAAAGTAGAGCTGGAAAGGATGGGAGGGGACTGTTGGTGAGGAGATAGAGAAGTTTGGAGAGTGAGGCATGGAACCCAGAGTGAAGTGAGCATGGCCTGGACATCTCATGAAATAATAGGAAGGGAAGGGAACAAACATTTATTATGCATCTACTGTGTACCAGGCACTGTGATAAGTGCTTTATGAACTTATTATTTTGAACCTCATGAAACCCCGAGACATAGGTGCTGTTATTATTCTCATTTTATTGTTGAAGAAAACCAAGGCAAACAGAGGTTAAATGATTTGCTCAGGATCACACATCTAGCATGGTGTCTGGGACTAGATTTGAGTTCAGGTCTTCCTGACTCCTGGAGAAGGAAATGGCAAACTACTCCAGTTTCTTTGCCAAGAAAACCCCAAAGACAGTATTGACATGTTATGGTTCACAGGGTCATGAAGAGTCAGATGTGACTGAACGGCTGACTTCCTGGAGTTCCTGACTCCAGCCTGTTTGCAGTGTTCACTGTATCACCTATCTGCCTTGACAGTGGCATCAGAATAGAACTATATAAACTTCTGGCTTTCAAATCCCAATACAACTTGATTAATGAGCTTCATTTTGGACATGTTGAGTTAGAGATGCCCACGGGGCATGCAGAAGGAAATATTGAGCAGGTTATTTACTGATAAGGACTGGAGCTCTGGTGAAAGATTGGGGCTGAGTATATATCTCCAAAGATTTGGAAGTCATCTACATAAATATGATAATTAAGTCCGTAGGGGTAATAAAATCACAAAAAGAGTAGGTATAGAGAGACGGGGGGAAAAAAGACTTATGGTCAGAAAAAAACTTCCCAACAATTAGAGTAACAAGTGATAATGTTTGCCATTGGAGGTCATCAAGTGAAGATGTGATGACCATTTTGGCCAATGATGTGTTAGAGGGTTGTTGAACAGGCACAGGATGGACTAGATGAACTCTGAAGTCTGTTCCCACATTTAAGTTTTAAGTTCTTTGGACCATACACGGAAATTCACAGATATGGGAAGACCATGTCGTCCCTCAGTCTTCACCATTTCCAGCATCCTCAGCTCCTTTAGCTGATCCTCACACTGCATATGCTATTTCACCCTTCCAGCTGCCCTCCTTGGGACCCGCTTGGGTCTGTTACTGTCTCTCCCAAAATGTGTTGCTCAGACATGAACACAATATCCTAGACCAGCAAAAGGTACTGGGGGACTGTTTTTTTTTTTTTAAACTGGGGGACTGTCAGGTCCCTTACTATAGACAGTGTGTCTCTCTTAACATAGCGTAAGGCAAGTTAGCTCTTTTGGTTTCCATAGTGGAGTGCTGACTCATTTTGGGCTTGTTGCCCACTAAAATCCTGTTTGCTGAGATTACCCAGTTAGTAAATAATAGAGCCAGAAATTGAACTTGGGTTTTCAGATTTCCTATCCACAGCTAGGTGGCACAGTGGATAGAGGGCTGGGTCTGGAGTCAGGAAGACCTGAACTTCAAATCCTGCCTTAGATACTAGCTATTTGACCCAGGGCAAATCGCTTAACCTCTGCCTCAGTTTTCTCAACTGTAAAATGGGCTTAATAATAGTACTTACCTTCAAAGGTTGTTGTGAGGATCAAATAATATTTATTAAGTGCAAGGTACCTGGTACATAATAAATGTGTAATAAATGTGTGTTTCCTTCCATCTTTCTTCCCATTACAGTAAATCTCTTCCTTCAATGAAAGCTACAGAGTAATAAATATGAAATTTGGAAAAATAGACCTATGTTCGAATGAGATTGTATGGTGAGAGAATTAGAGCCAAGAGGGCATATCATGATGTGATTAGAACCTACAGGCAAAGAAGATATACTGTATCCAAGGCTTCCTTTGTTTTTTGAAAGCAGTCATAGCTTGAGGCCTTAAAGAGCTTTTCATAGCCTAACATCTGCATTATTAGTATCTTTCACCTTTTCTGAATTCCCCATTAAAATGTTAAGAAGCTTTTTAAATTCCTTCTGTTTCTTCAATAGAAAAATGAAATTTTAAAAGATATGAAAATGAAGAAAAAAAATCAGTCTTTGGAAAATGAGGAGGAAAAAAACAAATTGTTTGGGGTGGAAATGAGAGAAGATAAAAATAACATACCTAACCTTTTTATCCACCTAAATATGCCAAGGGGTAAGGGAAAATCAGGGGAAGGTTCTGAATTTATTCAGGTAAAACACCCCCCATGGGCTGTATTGGTTCTGTATACCTGGATTTCAGGGGAATGTGGGACTTAGGGGTGCCCAATTATTTTGATCTTCTTCAATCTGTATTTGTAGGCACAGCCTCAGTTTCCTGGTAAATTATCCTTGACATACCTAGACAATTAATTATTTATTTGTCTGTTACACTCAGTCAAGTTCTCTTTACTTACATGACTGCTCATGCCACACTTAGGAACAGCACGACTTCCCTAAACACTTAGAACAGGATGTGCACAATTCTTACTGGAACCCATTGCTGAACTTGGAACCTTTCCATCTGCAATTGGGCAATGGTAATAATATTATGGGCTGCTCCCCCCACCTGCTGTGTTTATTTGCAAAACTAACTGCCAAAAACCAAGGAATAGATGAAGCTCATTTCAGCAATTCCAAGATTTTGGAAAGAAGAGTATCAGAATGTAGTATGATTGATATTGCTTACTTCCCACGAATATTCCTGCCATCCCAAGTTGGAAAATACTGTAGATGAGTGGAAAGGTAAACATCTGATTAAGCTCTTCTTGGGAGAAGGACAGTTGTACTATTGTTGAACACAGCTGAGTGTTCTGCATTCCTGTTTCCAAAGACACTGTACGACATCTAAGGGTAAATGAAAATAAATGTTCAGAAAATACTTTAGTTTTTCAAAATGCTATGAAATATGTATTATGCACACATACATAAATGTACATCCATCTATGAAAACACACAAATATCTATGTATTTATAAACTTATATTTACCAGACCTATGATTCCATTAGTGAAGGGAACTCTGAGTGAGGAATCCCGTTTTACCACTCTGCAACTTATAGTCTTAGAGAGTTGAATGGGGCACTGAGAGGATAAATTATTTGCTCACAACTAGTCTATGTCAGAGATAGAATTTGAACCCAGGTCTTTACGATTCCAACTAGTCTATGTCAGAGGTAGAATTTGAACCCAGGTCTTTACTATTCCAAGGCTAGTCCTTGCTCCATTATGCGACATTCTTTCTGGGAGGACTATACATATGGATGTTCATTTCTACGGGCATTTTCATGTGGCATAGACATCACTTTATCTTTCTCAATTACATCCTCAGTGTGGAGGGCACATAAGTGCTCAATACAGACATGTCAATTAACTGATGCTGTCATTCTTTGGACATTAAATTGAATTTGTCAATTGTGGGTATTGGACTGATGTGAAGACTGACAGGGCCTACCTTTTTGGTTCTTTGTTGTTTCTAAATCTTTATTCTGTTGCTAAAGAGTGGAGAAAGTCTATCTCAAGGTTTTCTACTCACTTCTCTGAGATGCAGTGGATAGAATGTTTCACCTAGAGTTAGGAAGATCTGAGTTCAAATTCTGATGCAGAGACTTGATAGCTATGTGACCCTGGGAGAGTCACTTTCTGCTTCAGCTTCCTCAACTGTAAAATGGGGTTAATAATAACACACCTACCTCCCAAGGTGGCTAATGAAATGAAGTATTTGTAAAGCATTTTGCAAGTCTTAAAGCACTATGAAAATGCTTTATTTGGTTATTATTATTTTATTATTAATCTGTTTCTACTTTGTCTTCCAACCTTGACTATCCACCAACTCTGACAGCTTCTTTCTCCTACTCCTAGTTTAGACAGAGGAGTACTAGAAGAAATACCTATTCCTCCCCGTGAGCAAACATTAGACTCAAAAATGTCACCCTGAGTTCTAATATTCAGGATCTTTTAATGATAATACTTCTATGAACTCCTGTTGGCTGGAAGAGCCTTTAGTTATTATAGTGTTCCATTAATCGGCTTTTTGTCAAGCCCTTAGCTGGAGAGTCAGGATGCATAGAAATGTAAGAGTGTGACTTTGCACAATGTGTTAAATGATTCAGAAGAAAAGGAGCCCAAACAGAATGAGTCAGTATTTCTTTTCTTTGTCATTTACATATTTAGGTATAATCAATGAATGCATATAATTTTTTTTCCCTTGGGGGTAGTGCGTTGGGAGGAGAAATCATTATATTCTGAACTATAGACTAATTTCGGGAGTTATCTCCAAGAAATATGTACCAAATTGAATGTACCTCTGCCAGGACTGACCAGCTGCCCTAGCCAGGATGAAGCCCAGTAGATAACCAAAGAAAGGAAACAAGGTTCCTATAATCCACAATTTAGGATGAATAATCCAGGCACCCTGGTACAATATGCCTCCAGTCACTGCTATGACCACTATGAGAATTGCACCTGTTATGGAACCAACCTGAAAAAAAAAGAGGTAGAATGCACTATATGAAAAGCATGTAATCAATCCAAATAACCAGATTCAAATAGGTAACTTGTCAAACTAAAAGTCATGGAGATAAATCCTTTGTAGTTTTTCCTAGAAGCAGAGTGGTGTTATAAAAAGTAGGAAAGATTCCTGGACTTAGAAACAGTGGTTCTGGCACTGAGTCTTAGCTCTTTTCTCTAACAGACAAGTCACTTTACCTCACTGAAACTCATTTTCCCTATCTGAAAATGGGGATGATAATAGTTGTGCAGCCTACCTTTAAATCTTGAAGTGTTTTAACAAATGTTGAAGAGACTCCAGGAGGATAAGAAAACCAAATACAGAACTTGTATGAATAAGTTCGCAAAGTTTCAAATTCAATGTCTTTGGGAAGAAGAAATGTTGCTGGCATGACAGCGAAAATTACACATGATCATGTAGTCAAAGTGCTTTGTAAGCTTCCAAGCAGTATTCCAATGTAAACTTCTGTTTCAGAGGGCAACAGAAATTAAGCTAAGATCTCAAGATTCTAGTCCTGAACAACTGCAATTTTTCCTCTATATTTAGAGGTGTTAAAAAAAAAGTCACTTTCTTGCATAGTGCCATTCAAGATTCTGAAGTCAGTTCCATGTTTTCATGAGAGAAATAGTGAGTGGATTGATATATTAAATAGGGGTTAGACTAGACCTTGAGACTTTGTGATCATAGATACAAACAGTTCATTTACAATCAGTCTGGAGATGATTACTCAGTTTGTGTATTGCAGCTTCTCTTTTTTTTACCCTTCATATCTGCCGTTCCACTATTTTGATGTCACACCATTCCATTCTTGTGTCACTTCTCTTTCACTTTTGCCAAAGAACTCTTCTAGGTCTTCTTTGTTTGCAGATGATAGCTATGCTATCCAAAGGATCATGGATTTGTAGGATTTAGATCTGAAGTGGACATTAAAAACCATCTAGTCCAACTCTTTTGTGGGGAAATGGAGGTCCAGAGAAGTTAAGTCTGATATCACACAGATAATAAGGAGGCAGAGTCAGGATTTGAATGCAACTCCTGTGACTCTAGGCCCAAAGCTCTGTCCCTTATCATACAACTTCTCTCTTTCATCTTGCTCCCCTGTATTATTCTTCAGCCAGACTGGAAAAACTGGAGAAACGCTAGTAGTATCCCAATGTAGCTGAGGGCAGGGAATAGCTCATATGATTGGGAATATTAATTAATGCTAACCTCAATATCATAAAAATACAGAGTTGGAAGGGATCTCAGAGACAATCTAACCTAACCATGGTTCAAAGGATAAATACTTTCTAACATCTGGATGAGTTTTCATCCAACTTTCGTTTGAAGATCTCTACCAACAGAAAGCTCATTAACTCCTGAAGAAACTCAACTGACTTTAGGACATTGTTAGGAACTCTTGCCATATATTGAGGATTTCCTTAAAAAAAAGGAAAGACTTGTTTAAGTTTTTCCTAAAGACTTCAAAAGATATCAAACATTGAAGGATTTGTGGAAATCATAGTGGATTAAATGTTAAGAAATATGGGTTCTAATCTTGATTCTACCACTCCCTAGCTATGTAACTTTTCCAAAGTTTTTAACCTCTGTGAAATTTAAATTTCTTCATCTGCAAAACAGGATTATAATCCTTGCATTCTGAGGGTAAAATAAAGTAATATATGAGAAAGTATTTTGAAAACTATAAAGGTCTGTAGGAGATTTTTATTGTTGCATTTTATTTTATCGTTATCTATGTTTTACAAGGATTTAATGGATATTAGGAAGTTGATTGGAGAATTTTCTGTAGCCCATTTTGTCAATCACTTCCTTTTCTAAGCCTACTTGTTGCTGTTATATAGTTCAGTGGCTGAGATTTTACTTCCAAATTCTCAGAGAGTGTAAAGCACAATAAAATATCAAACACTTTTCATGTTCATTCACATTCCATGTGAAATTCCTTTATTTTCATGAAGGATATTGGATTTGTAGTTTAAGGAGAATAAAATGCCAGGCACCATTTTGCACATTGGGGCACAGCTTCCTCATGTATAGTTATGGAAATATAGTTTGGTTGTGTTGATGGAAAAATAGTGTACATGGAAATGCAGCCTGGGAAGCTTCTAGACCCCTCCCATGAGAAAAACATATAACATGATAAAAGATATTTTAGTGGTACTAAAGAAAAAAAATAATTTCTCTCATGATGTCTGGTCATTTGTCTGTGTGGGGAATGCTACATAGGACTCTTACCTTAAGGATGATCTTGGCTTTCTCTGGCCATTTGTTTTTGACAACTATTCCCACAGAAACAGGAATGACGAGAGCAACTAAAGAAATACCTAGAAATAACCAAAAGGGAAACTTTGTTGAGAACAAAGATAGCAAAGAAAGAAAAAGATACAAGAGGAAGAACATCTTGAAAGGACTTAGGAGACTCTCTCTGGTCCCTCTCCTCTATAGCTAAGGTCCTCTCCAGTTATAAATCTATGATCCTTTGAATGATATCAGTGGTAATGTGGAGTAGTAGATAGAAAGCTTTATTCTGAATCAGGAAGAACCAAATCTTCCCTTGAGCACATACTAAATGTGTAAACTAGGTGGCACGATGGATAGAGAGCTGGGTCAAAAAGATCTGGGTTCAAATTTGATCTCACATACTTACTAGCAGCTTGGCCCCAGACAATTCATTTAATATCTATCTGCCTCAATTTCCTTATAAAATGGGGATAATAACAGTACCTATCTCCCAGAATTGTTGGAAGGATAAAATGAGATAATATTTTTGAAGGGCTTTGCATTTTATAAAGTCTTCTACTACTACTACAACTACTACTACTACTACTACTGCTACTGCTACTGCTACTGCTACTGCTACTGCTACTGTTGCTACTGCTACTGCTACTACTACTACCACTACTCCTCCTCCTCCTCCTCCTCCTCCTACTACTACTAGTGCCTTGGGGAAGTCACTAAACCACTTTATATCCCTGGCATTAAAAGAATTAAATAAGTAATGCTGGGGATATAAATATTCTCCCTATAGACATTTTTATACAATTACCAAATTTCTTTTCTATGTTTTAATATCACTGTTCCTTAGCACTGCCTTTGGTCTAAGTTCAGTTATACAAATGCTTTTTAGCTGGCCCTTAACATTTCTTAAAAAGAGAGAAGGGGGAGTTCCTTTTGATTCAGAACTTAGTTTCCTAGAATGAAAAATCATAGGTTCATTAATTTAAAGCTGGAAGGGATGTTGGAGGCCTTTCCATCCCCTTTTACAGATGAGGAATCTGAGACATGGAGAGGTTAAGGGACCTCCCCAGGGTCATACAAATAGTCTGAGGCAGAATTTAATTCTGGTTCTTTGTGACTCCAAGTCCAGGGTCCTCTTCTGTGGGCTGTGCTATTTTCTTTTTTTCTTTGTTTTTATGAGTTTGTGCTAACAGCTGATGTGGAATGAGGGCCCTGTTCCTGGAAGTGGGGAAATGAATGCATGCAAAATTAGCCAAAGTTTATAAGGTATTCTGAAGACCCTCACATGCTAATGACTTCCAGGGCATCACTGACTCAGCTACAATCAAATCCATGGCCTAGAGGTGATAGACTAGAAGGGAAAGCATATTTTAATTTTTTCTTGAGATAATCTATTTGGCAACCTCTCAAGTAATTACAGTTCTTTGCAGACACGTTCTCCCAGCCAGATAACAGAGGTATACTTCAATTTCACTGTGCTCAATTTACTGCTGTTCTTGTTTTGTTTCCACATATTATTCAATAGCCATTTCTCCAGTCCATGCTTCCATTCTAGCAGCCACAGCATCTTGGGTTCACAGTTTCCTTCCTTCTCCACCCCCCACTCTTCTCTTTTTTTCTCTATCCTTCCCTCACATGTTCTCTCTCCTCTCATTCTCTCTTTATTTTTCCTTCTTCTTTTTTTCTTATCTCTTTTTTCTCTATTCCTCTCTATCTCCTTCATTTTTTTTCTTTCCTTTCTCTTATTCTCTCCTTTGTCTTCTCTTTCTTTCCCTTTTTCTCTCCTTCCCTTCTCCCTGTGTCTCCCCTTTTTTTCTTCTGGTGTTCAATTTCCTTTAAACATTTTAGAGACTCAGATATAATAATGCAATAACACAGAATTCATGGCTGCTAGTGAAATAAATTGCACTCAGGCTTGGAAGCAGATTCTAAGCAGTCTAAGGCTGGGAACTTTAATTAAAATAAGCAGAGTTGTGATAGAAAAGATTTACTCTAGTACAAAAGAAAAAAAAATCACCTTCTTTATGGCTTTTATCTCTTCTGATTAAACAGGGGTCAGTCACTTGTTTAGCCCTGAGTTTCTCAAAGTAGAGTTAAATAGATATCAATGGCAGATTTAAGCCAGGTAATTAAGAAGGAAAAAAGGAATCTCAGGGGAGATAAGAGATGAAAAAGAAAGGGAATTGGGGAGAAGAAAGGGAGGAAGAAGAGAGAAAGAATGGAGAGGGGCAAAGTACAATTAATAGTTGTTTTCTGTGTATATTTAGTGATGACAGTTTTATAGTCTGTCTTCCCTTATATTCCAATTTTATCAGATATTGGGATATTTAATGTTTATTGGATTTTTACAATGTGCTGGGCACCATACAGAATACATATATGTTCCACACAGAGCCTTCCATTCAATAATTCTTTATTTACCAGGGGAAGACTACTGTCATATTAATTACTGACAAGGCTTGCCATTTAAATAATTTTGCTTGTAGTAGTGATTCTTTTACTAATTCATGCATGCCTTCTTACCTTCTCTCTCTTGTGAACACTTGAATGCATTTGCAAGTGGGTAGAACATCTACTATAACATATACCAAAACTAATTAGCTCACTGGAGAATTGAACCCAAAACATTTAGCTTATTAGTAGAGTTCTTTGACCAGTTGCAGCCAACTAGTGGCAGATTACATGAGTCATACATGCTATTTATACAGAGTGGAAAAATATCTCAGGAGCTTTTATTGGTGACTTTCTATAGTGTAGCTTTTCCCTTTGGATTTGGTTTTATTTTTGATGTTTTTATTTGCAATGTTTTCACCCTTTCCCTCACTACCTTCCCTGTACCCCCAACAAAGCATTATGAAAATTCCAGAGCAGTTTCTAGATTTAGATTGAGAGAATATCAGAGTCCTCATTCACTCCATTTGATGACTTGTGGAGGATTCTTACATGTTTGAGGAGGATCTTAAATGACAGAAGCCAGGAAATAATAATACTTTGTATAATTATAGGGCCTTAAACATTTTATAGGTACTTTCACATTATTAACTTTTTTATCCTCAGTTGTAAGGATTTCTATAGGTCATTTGGGGAGTCTATTATTCCTATTTAATGGTTGATAGAACAAAATTTGGAACATTCAATTTAGGGTTGGAACTAGACTAAGTTTTAAAGAAGGAAATACTTGTCTTTAGCAGCCACAGATTCCATTCCCCCCCACAATGTTTCCCTTCCTTTCATATGTCTGCAATCCTCATGATCTCTCCTCTATCAAAACTTACTCTTAGAAAAGGATTGGATTTTACTTATACCTTAGTGTGGGTTTAAGCCTAGTGTTACTTCTGTCAGACATTCATATCTTAAGCTTTGTTGCCAATTATCACTAATTTTGGAATGAAAGACCTTTTCCCTATTAAAGAAAATCCAGGCATTCTAAATTTTGTGTAGCAGACCAGAGAAGACTATGGCACTGATTGGGCTTATCTTTGTCTGGAGTGAATCTACCAGGCTGAGGATTGAAGGGATGTATGCATAGATATTTTTAATTTAATCTGAATTAGTAACACTTTCTTAAGACTATACAATCAACAAGACAATGAACTGAGCCCTGATTTGTAGCAATTGCTGATTTCTGAGGTGTAAATGCTCACATTGAATATTTCACAATCAGCTCTTACTCATCTCCACATAAAGCCTGGTCTGGTTAACTGATATATTTTAGATCACATACATAGTTAATGATTCTAGCAAGACTAGAATCCAGTTTCTATTCTCTCTGTTCTTTCTGCTATCCCAGACGTATAGATGTATGTATTCATATATGTGTATCAGGAGTATATATTCCTATCTCTATATTAGAAATACTTTAAAAGTCAGGAAGGGCCTGTAATTAGTAGAAATGAACAGTAAAACACAACCTGGAAAATTAGAGAAAGGAAAAACAGTTTAGAAAAACATTAAAGTATCACATGGAGAAAAAAAAAACTCACCTAAACTATCATAGGGAATTTTAATCAACCCAGTATCAGTCCACATTTTGGTATAAATAAAGAGACAAAGAGGCATCATTCCCAAGGCGAGCAGGGTGGAACATGTTGTCATGCTGATACTGTGAAGAAATGAACACATTAATTTGAATCTTTTTCGCCCTTTTTCCAATTGAAAGTGTCCCCACCTCCCCACCCCCAGACCTTGCAATTCATATTACAAAATCAGTAGCAGTAGCATCCTTTAGTGTGCAGAGATATTTACATGGCATGCAGTTCTTTGGTGTTCTCCTGCCTCTCCGTTATACTCCCTCTTCTCTTTACTCTATCACTCCTTCACCAGGAACATGTTTTACTCTCACGTGTCACTAAGAAATCAGCTAATATCAGCTTAACCCTGGTGAGATCAAAGATCAATGCGCACAAACAAGTGTCTCTTGGCCCCTTCTCCCTGGGATCTTTTTCAGAGCAGTAAAATGATTGTAGTTCATATCAATCAAGATTCTTGTGGTGGTTCAGTATTAGATCATTCCACATCGGTATCAAAGGAGTTTTCTGGATGCCTCCCCACCTTCCCACCCAGGAGGAGAATGACCTTCCAAGAAAGCATTTTCTGGGGGCATTATATAATTTTAAAAATTTGCATTAAACAAGAGTAGAGAGAAATAATAGTTAATGATAGTCTAAGCTGGAAAGGAATTTAGAAATAATCAAATCCAATCTCTTAATATTATAGATGAGGAAACTGAGGCCCAAAGATTAAGTAACCTGCTCAAAGTTACACAAGGTCTACACTGATAGATCCAGGATTTAGACTTTGGTGTTCTGATGCCAAATAGGGCTCTTTCACATCCATATAGGACTTCTATTGTATTATCTCATATTCCTTGGCCTTATTTCCTTTTCTATGAATTGAGGGAGTCAGCTGAACTGATCATTAATATCTTTTTTTTTTTTTTTGGAGGCAATTGGAGTTAAGCAACTTCCCTAAGGTCACCCAGCTACTAAGTATCTGAGGCTGGATTCAAACTCAGGACCTCTTGACTCTGGGGTTGGAGCTCTGTCTGCTACACCACCTTGTTTTGCTGCTTGCTATTTGTTCCTCATTTTTGAAGAGGACCTAGCTGCCCCACTAATGTCCTTTCAAGTTCTAGGTTCTGTTATGCTATGATCATAAAAGATAAAATTTAAAAGAATTAGATTATAGTTATAAGAAATATCGTGTAAGATGAAGTTTCAGACCATTGACATCTGACATTGAATAAAGCATGGCTTCTTTGAGCCATGGTGGATACTGTACTGTTTCCCAGATTCATTCCAGGGGCAAGGCCAGTGGCAGACTTGGTCAGGGACTATAGCTAATTATAATGTTATTTGTGGTGTGATACTAGCTGGTTGACTTTGTCTGGGCAAGCTTAGTCTGCATTGGTGATATCTCATTGAGGGACATCAGAAGCAAGAGGAGGGCCATTACAGACACAATATTCAGTTATCCAAACCACAAGATAAGAAGCTGGCAAGGGCTTGAGGCATTTGGTGTTTCTAAGATCTCAAAGTGAAGGTTAACAGAATGGTAATATCGGAATCCAAGGGCCAAAACAGGAAAATATGGTCTACAGTCAAGCAGAAATTTAAGAAAAGTGGTGTGCCAACAGATTTGAGCTCATTCAAAGAAGTATGAGTTCAATTTGCCTCATTCAATATGATGACCTCTGCTGGCGTACTTCTGAGCTAATTGGCTAATTCTCTTGATTTTCTGAATAAGCTTCAGTTGTGGACAGCTCTCCTCCACTGCCAGAACTCAGTATCTTGAAAACAGCTGTGTTTTGGTGGTGGCATATGGTTCCATAGAAACTTAAAGCATGCATTTCCAGGAGAGTAAGGGTGTAGTATTACTTTTGCCAGGGGCATTTGTATTTTAAAAAGGGGACATTGGATAACATTCAGTGATTCCAAGAAGAACTAAAACCCTTCAAAGACCAAGTAAATAAATCTTTAATGATAGAATTCCAGGTACGTGTTGGATAGTAAGGGAAATAATTTTGAACTGAGGAGTTTTTCCTGGAACTCCTGAGATCTTAGCACCCCTTTTTAAGGTCAGCCACAGGAGAATGTATGTTTTTGTGAGAAAATGTGCCTGAGAAAATGTGTGACTGAGCCATGAAAATTTGCTATGAGATCTGTGTTGCTGTATCATTGCCATGCAGCCTCTGGTATACCATAATAATTATTTCTAAAGGTTAAACTTTCACAACTGTTATTACAGATATGCAGATTCAACCATTTCATTACAGTAGTGTTGTGTACTACTAATAATTCATATTCATATGGAAATTACTAAATACTTTCCTTACAACGGCCTCATGAAATTAGGGATTGCAAGCACTATCATAATCACTTCACAGGTGAGGAAAATGAGGCTCAGAATGGTTATACAACATGCCCAGAGTCATACAACTGGTAAGGATTGGAGCTGAAATCTATATTTCTTCTGGCTCCAACTCCAGGGCTCATTCCACTTTACTTGGAACAGAGCCTCTGATAGTAGCAGGTGTTCTAAGAATATTAGGAATGATAACAGGTTCCATTCCTCTATTGTTGTGGGACACAAGAAAATAACAAAACATGGTGGCTATAGAATAATGCTACGTGTGTGTGTGTGTGTGTGTGTGTATTCATATGTCAAAGGAAAAAGGCTAAATGTTTTGCATTAAGGTAAGCAAAATGAGGCTTCTTTTAAGTAAAGATGAGCATTTTTGTTTTAATTCACTTATTCATACATAGGTAGGTAGCTCAAATTTTCTAAAAAAAAAAGAGAGAGAGAGCTTGGAATAGTGAATAGGAAGCTCTTCATAAAAAACACTTGAATTCAAGTCCCACTTCTGATATATCCTGGTGAAGTGGTCCTAGACAAGTGACTTAGTCTTGCAACTCTATAGGCTATATTCTAAGAACGTAAGTTTCAGAGAAGGTGCAGATTGGATTGGTGGAGGGAGTTTCTTCATCTGGGAGTTCCTTATGCATATGATATCACAGTTCTAGACCTTCTAACCTAAGGGAATGGGGGAGGATAAAGGTAAAGGACTGTTCAGGAGAATGGTCCTCCTTGCTCGTTCATTTTTAGGAATAACTTTCTTTCTTTTATTGGTTTCAGTTAAGAATAATTTGACAAAACAACATTCATTGGTAGTAAGAATAATATTAGTAATACTATAAAAAAAGAAACCCATCATCAATCCTGTTGTTTCCCTGAGTGATGTAATCTGTTGGGGTGGTAGGACCATTCCATTTAGATATGAAATATGAAAAAAAAGAAATAAGGAAATTTTAGACTTTTTTTCTATTTCTCTGCTTAGTTTTTTTTAATTTTCTCTTCAGGTGTCTTCAATTCTGAGTTGTTATTAAGAGGCTTTGTAGCAAAAGTGTGGAGGGACTTGAACAGGATAGAGCAATACCTTGCAGACCTGTGGGAAGGAAGAAATGGGAGTGGGAGAAGTCATCAAATATGTTATAATTTTCAAGATAGAGAAGAGGGTAGGATGAGATGGGTCATGGGGGAAAAGAAAATGACAGGAAGTTGGGGAGAGAGTATATTGAATAGAATTGTTGCAAAAATCTACAAGGCACAAATGAGGAACTTTAAGGAGGAGAGGGCTTGCCTGAATGACAGGAGAAGAATTCTTTTTTTTTTAAAGCAGTAATTTGAAAAGCTGTAAGGGTGGTGTTGGTGGTGACAGGCCGGGGGGTGGGGGGTGGGTTGACAGTTCAAAACTACCTGTGAAAGTAAGAGATAAAAGAAAAAAGAAAAACAAAAGAAGTCCAGTACCATAGCTCTATTAACTGTTAGCTAGCAAGTCTGTGAAAAGAAATAAATGGAGGGAGAAATAAGGATCTGTTAGTATTGAAGGAGGAGGTAGACAGAAGATGAACGTGGTGGTCATTGTGTTTGAAGTAGAAAAGCAGCAGCTGAGTGAGGATCTTAGCATGTGTAGACCAGAGAGACATGAGGAAAAAAACAGAACAATGAAAACAAAAAGGGAAATAAAACAATATAAAATGAAAAATTAAAGATGGAGAATGAGGAAAGGAGCCACCTTCAAGAGTTAGAGTAGCTAATTTCTTTCTCTAAAACTACCATCTATCTATTCTACATTTATCTTGTGCGCACTGATTTATATATGTCATCTCCCCCATCAGAGAAGGGACTGGTTTTGCTTTTTCTTTATATCTCTAGGGCATAGTATGGTGCTTGGTACAACAGAAGTCCTTGATAAATGCTTGTTTATTGGTCAATTGATGGACATTTATATGAATAATGTTGGCAAAAGTTGATTTAGCATTGAAACTGGAGAGAAGGTCCTAAAGGATAAAAACAGAAGTAAGGTAGATGAGAGACAGATTGTCTCGGAAGAGAAAATGAAACAGAATGCAAAATTCCACAAAGAAGGGGAGAGAGTGATAAGGAACAATAGAAATTAATGGATTGGTCAATGGAAGGAAGGGGAAGAATAAATCAAAGGTAGGGGTCAAAGGAAAGGCTACAAAAACATAGGTTATCCAAAAGGGAATGAAGATGAAGGAAAAAAAGAGAATAGTATTCATCAAATGTAGAAAGTGTCACTTGGTATTTAAGCCTTTCTTGATTCTTCCAACTAAAGGAAGCTACCCTTCTGTCCTCTTTTACACCCTTTCCCTCACTACTTCAATACCTAGAAAGGCAGGGAAGACATATGACTGGTCCCAGGTGTGAATGCCAGGGAAGGAACAAGGCTGGAGTGGTTTCTTCTGAAAACTACAGAAGAAAGAAATTTCCCTGCCATCCCAAGCTGGTTGCAGACTTGCTTTTGCTACCAAACTTAGGAATTTACCTGATAACAGAGTGGATCCTCTCGGACAGTGAGTTAGAAGAAGAAATATTAGTGAATCGTCATTTAGGGGTTAAGTCCTAAGATACTCAGATGTCATAAGTCTATGATGTTGAGGAGTCTTTGGGGTTTTCAGTGACATATATTGCGCCAATATTCTGACTTGCATTTCCCCTAAATGATACCATCACACAATGCTAATCAACTATCTGCAGCTAACTTTAGATCTCCTTGAAATAATTTCCATTTGGATTAAATCTCTAATAGTTTGCCATTTCCTGAAGTCAACTCCAAGTCATCCAAACCACTCTATTCTATCATAAGCAGGTATATTTTTCAAATAGGACTTTTACATTTTTCACAGGTGCTAGTCTAAAGCTTAGGCTTTAGAAAAGGCATTTGACTCAAAAGTAGAGATGAAGGTTTCAAATGATTCTACCATGAAGCCATGGTCTAGGGAGCAGCAACCTTTTGACTTGATCTTTGCATTTCCTGTTACAAACTGCAGGTCAGAGGAGGAATGGGAGTAGCTGGAAGCACAGGTCGTCACAGGAGAGATGGCTTGAATACAGAAATATAAAATTCTAAGATGAATTTTATTTCTGAATATGTGACTGTAAAAACTCAATTTTCCATTTCCCTCAGAGAATGAATTTTCTGGATAGCTTAAGGTTATTCCTACATAGTGCCCCATAGGGGAAAGAATGCTGGGGACCTGGATTTTAACCATAGCCCAAACAGTCATTAGCTATATGTCCAAGAGCAAATCACATTACTTCTCTTAGGCTCAGTTGCCCTGAATGTAAAAGAGAGTTAATAACACATGTATTAAATATAATAATACTTTGCATTGCTTATCTGATTCAGTTGTTGAGAGGAAGGAAAGTTTCATAAAACTGAAAGGCCCATATAGAAGTAAATAATTACTGACTTGTCAGTTTTTTCATTTACTTTTTATGGTTTTCTGGCTAGCTCCCTTAATTTTCAGTTTTTCCTTTTTGTTATTAGCAAGGTGCCTATGAGTTGCTGGTCCTTTTTCACCCTTCTAATGGATTTTAACTTTTTAGGAAACCAGCTAACCATGTTTTAGTATTATATATTTAGCATTACATATAAATATTTAGTATTGTATTATATATAAAATAAGAGAAATTAGTGAAATTGTAAGGGGCTTTACTGTGAGTCAAGTGGATAAGCTAAACTGTGTGGACTTTATAACACTCATTTTGGTTGCTTAGAGACCTTTAAAGTCTACTTCCTGGTTCTTAGTTGTATTAGGATCATAGGGAGATAGGCTTTGGATCTGGAAGTGATCTTAGAGATTATTTAGTCCAACCCCTTCATTTTATAGATGAGAAATTCAATTTTGTGTAGGCTAAGTTGCCTATTGGCTGAATTCCAGATAGGTGACCTGTTCTGATACAATATTACCCATGGCATTGTATTGTAGAAAAAGTATTTGATTTGGAGCCGGGGAACTTAAGTTCAAACTAACCCAGTTGCTTACTGGTGGTTGGACCTTTGCAGAATCCCTTCCGCTAGCTAGGCCTCAGTTTCCTCATGTGTAAAATGAGGCTGTTGGATCAAATGATCTCTAATGTCTCTTCAGGCTTGAAATGCTATTAACCTCTTTGGGAAACTAGGGCATTTTTCTAGGATTGTGTCTATAATTCAAACTAAATTGTCTAGCACCTCATTTCTCATTATCATTCCAATGCACATTCTGATTACTTGAGAGGCTTACACAAATAGAGAAATGGTTTAAGCTGTGTTTTTCCCTACAGTTTCACAGATTTATTTTGTTTCCCATTTTGAAGTCTTTTACTAGATGTAGAAAGTATGTACTTGCTAGAAAACGTTATAGAACTTTTGTTTAAAATATTGATATTTTTTTGTTTTCTTGTCATCCTCATTACTGAATATATCACTCGCCCATCGTCTCCCCAGCAAGTCATTCCTTGTAACAGAATAAAAAAGAAAAAAAGGGGAGGAAAAAAACAGTCCAGCAAAAGGAGCATATTAACTGAGTATGGCAGAATATATAGTGTTTGATACTAATAGGTCCCCTCCTTCCCCCATGCCTCCAAAGAAGAAAGGTGAGATGCCTTCACATATTTCTTCTTTGGTGTCAAGCATGCTGATTTGAACTACCCTATGTCCAGTTTCCTTTGTTGTTGTTCTTAACTCTTTCCATTTATATTGCTGCATTCATCATCTATATCATTTCCCTAATTCTGCTCATTTGTTTCTCCATCACTTCACACGTCTTTCCATACATCTCTGCATTCTTTATATTCATCCTTCCTTATGGCACAGTACTATTCCATTACATTCATATGGAATGCCTTGTTTACCTGTTCCTCAATTAATAGACATCTTCATGTCCAATTCTTTGCTACCATCAAAAGTGCTGCTATGAAGATTTTGGTATATATGGAAATTTCCTTTCAGTCCTTCACCTCATTGAATTTTATACCTAATAAAGGGATTATAGTCATTTCAGCCATTTTGTAGGATAATTTAAGATGATTTTCATAATGCCCAGACTTTCCAATGCTAGTTCAGACTGGAATATGATGAATTGAACAAATAGTGCAATTTATGTAACTCTGTGGGAAGCAGAGAAACCATTTTCTGTTTATTTTAGAATAAGGTAATCACAATTAAAATAGAAAGAAGCATGTTTTATATTAGTGTACCTCTTTTCACAGTTCCTCCAAAAGTGATTATTCCAGGGGCAGTTAGGTGGTGAAGTGGATAGAGCTCCAGCCTTGCAGTCAGGAGAGCTTGAGTTCAAGTCTGGCCTCAGACACATAACACTCACTAGCTATGTGACCCTGGGCAGGTCACTTAACCCCAATTGCCTCACCAAAAAAACAAAACAAAACAAAAAAAACTTCCGAAAGTGATTATTCCCATATTTTGTCATCTTTGCAAATTTGTGTATGAAGTGAAATCTTAGTGTTATTTTAATTTGCATTTCCCTTATCATTATTAGTGATTTGGAAGAATCTTTCAAATGCTTGCTAATGGTTTATAATACTTTTGAGAATTTTTTTTCATCTTCCTACCACTCATCATACCCATAACTTTCTGAAACAAAGTTCCCCTGCCTGGCTACCACTCTACTCTGTGCATTGTCTCCTCTATAAAATGTAGGCACCTAAGGAATAGAGCTGTTTCTGCATTTGTATTTGTGTCTCCAGGGCTTAACATGGTCCTCTGTACTTAATACATGCCTTTTTATCCTTTCATTGGGGAATAACTTTTGGTATTACATATTTGTGTTAGTTAGCTGGCATATCTTAGATATCATGCTTATCAGATATATCTGAATTGTTACAGATTTCTTTTTAATTTCCCATTTTAAAATCTTTTACTAAAATTATGGTTAGAACATGTTACATAAGCATCCTATAATTTCTTTTAAAATATTGATATTTAAAATTTTCACATTAATATCATCCCTTCTAGGAAACTAAATTATTTTCTTAAAAATATACAGCTATCTCAGAAACATTTGGTTAGGTTGCACAAAACAGTTGCTGGAAAGGAATGGCCATCTCAATAGTTATACAAATAAAGTATCCTAAAAATTCGTATATAAGAGGTGTCTAAAAAAGATGAGATATTTTTTCCCTTCTAACACGGTTAATGCTTGTGTTGGAAAACTATGCTACTTCAGGAAAATATTACAATTTTCTGGGAGAGCAGTTGTATTTGTGCTAAATCTTCATTCTCATGCAAATATACTCCAGTCAGGCTAGATGGGTTAAGATAACTGAATGGTTTCCAGGCCAAATTGGCATAGAGACTTCTTGGTATAGCAGCTTCACATGCAAACTAGACATGCATATAAACTAAACATACTAAGAAATTCTGTAGCGAGATAGGCCTTGTATTTCCTTATTAGAGAAAAGAGGTGACCTGGAGAAATAGATTTAGTTCTCACCCAAGGTTCAGGAGGGAGTGATGACAGAACTGAAAGGAAGGAAGACAAAGCTTGTGGAATTAGCTCCCAGTTTCTTCCTCACTTGGCATTTTGTCCTTGGCATATACAATTATATACGCTGCAGTTTCTGCTTTTTGAGATCTAATTCATACATTTCTCAATCCTCTCTCCCAAGTACAGTAGCTGGTGATTAACAGGCCTGATTGCCTACTATATGGTATTGATAAGCTCACATTACTTTAACACCTGGATGTTATGTATAAATGCATATTTTTCAAAGGGAATGGTGTGTTGTGAGATACAGAAAAATAAATTTTTGCCTATTCAGGCTTCTGATGTTAAAATTCCTGATCTATTCACTCTACTGCCACATCTTATTTCTATTAGTTTTTTTTTTTCCCAGTGCTAGTTCAGACTGGAATATGATGAATTGAACAAATATTGCAATTTATGTAACTCTATGGGAAGCAGAGAAACCATTTTCTGTTTATTTTAGAATAAAGTAATCACAATTAAAATAGAAAGAAGCATATTGTAGCTTCCCTTCCTCCCTTCAAAGAGTAGAAGGTACATTTTTGCCTAGGATTTTACCTCCAAAGACAAGACTAGTTAACCCAGAGGACTGGATCTATTCACTATCGTATCACAATTTGTTTCTTAACAACTATTTTAACTTAGTGTGAACACACTTTTTGTTCCCTATTACTACTACCATCATTTCCCACCATTTTTGATGTTGAAATCTTTCACTGACTGAATCCTGTGGTTTGGAAAAGGTCTTTTACTTCAGAAACTATGATTTCCCTTTCAGTGATAAATAATAATTGACTGGCTTTCCACCAGTGAAAACAGGTTTAATACGATGACAACAAAAGAACAGCTTCTGAAGCCAAGGAGCCTGTCAGCAGCACAAAGGAAATGCATGTGTCTTACCTTATTTAATTTCTTAATCATGAGTTAGATCAATGGTAGATTCATTCAGAGTTCAGCATGTTACGTATAGACTTCTAAAATGATAAATTCAATGTGATTTCAACAAACTAATACTTGGTTTCTCTTACCTCAGGTCCATGTCACCATCAGTCCAGTAAGCCAAAATATTGGAAGCTGTTCCTCCTGGACAACAGCCCATGATGAGTACTACAACAGCCTGGATAGGGAGGATGTCAAAGGCCACCGAGAGGATAAAGCCTGTGAGGGGCATAATTCCAAACTGGCAAAGGAAGCCCACAAATATGCCCCATGGTCTCTTTATATGACCCCAGAATTTCATGATTTCCACATTGCAACCCATGGAAAACATCACTAAAGCCAACATGGTGGTAATAACAATACTTAGGACAGTACTTAGAATTCTGTTGTAATCATCCTCAGGCAACACACAGGAGTTTTCATCACAAATAGTAGCATTAGAAGAGCAAGTAGAACCATTCATTGCTGTTATGGTGGTTGGCCAAGCAGAAGCATCCATTGCTGTTCTGGTGGTTGGTGATTAGATCTACAGAAGCTGTTTCATGAATGCTATCTGTGCTGTATGCTGAGGCAAAAGGAGTGCCTCCTACAACTACTTCAAACTTTTAAACCTTTGTTAACACGTGTCAGTTGGCATCCTATTAAAAAAAAACAAACCTTCCTAACAAGCAATAAAAGACACAATAAATACCTGAACTTCACGAATACTAGTTTCAAAACTTAGCTTATTATGACACAGCACAAATTATGAATCATAAAATTCCAGAAAAAAATATTGGTTATGGACAGAGAATTTCAATTAATCATTTATTGGTATGAGATTGAACTATGTCATGTAAAAAAAAAGTTATGTTAATGTTTAATGGTAGAAAGTTTTGCTGAATGTAGTTTTTTTTGTTTTTTTTTTTGATAACACTTGAAAGGAACCCAACACAGGTTGTTTTCATGTTGTAAATCTAAGTCTTGGAAACTTTTTGGCCCCATTTTTCTGCAAACCTAAGGGCTACAACAGCCCTGGCCAAGATATAGAAAGGACTATGGTGAACATAGTCAGACTTCTGAGAGCCATTGTGGATTCTGGATAAGTGTGATAAAGGCAATAAAATTATTTAAAAGGATGAGTCTAAGCGATTTAGGTTAAAGTAGTAGAATCTGATTTTTATAGAGTCATAGTAAGAAGGCAGAAAGTGAAAGGATAATTGAAAAAGGAATAAAGAATTCAAAATAAAATTTAACAAATATTCATTGAGTACCACTATGTGGGTACTACAAAGCACTGTGTGATGTGCAAGATGAGACAAAATTTAAATTAGACACTAAACTTGCCCTGGTGAAACATATAGACTCCTAGGAGTTATGCACAGTGATAATTAAAAGTTATAGCAATACATGTTAAGTGAGTTAGAGAGGTGGGAAACAAAGCCATGTGAAAGGTTCAAGGCAGAAAGGTCAGAACTGGACTATAGGGATTGGGGAGATGGTATTGGAGGAGGTCTTTAAAGGATGGAATGAATGAAATAGGAAAAGAGGAAAGATATTCTAGGAACCATGTAAACCATGGGTGGGGCACCTGTGGCCTTGAGGCCACATGTGGCCTTCTAGGTCCTTGGGAACAGCCTTTTGACTGAGTCCAAATTTTACAGAACAAATCCTTTTACTAAGGGGATTTGTTCTGTGAAGTTTGGATTCAGTCAAAGGGCTACACTTGAGGACCTAGAGGGCCACGTGTGGCCTCAAAGCTGCAGGTTCCCCACCCCCTGTATAAGCAAAGGTATGATAACTAGAAAGTTAATAATATATTCATGGGGAACTGTACAATCCAATTTGACCAGAATGCATGAAGAGCAATAATGTGTGCTAAAGTTAGAAGGATAGGATGTTGCAACATTATGGAAGGCTTGAATGCTAGCCTAAGGCATTTGAAATTTATTTGGATTGGAGAAATGAAAAAAGGGAGTTAGGGAGAACTGTTAGGAGGTTGTTGGAATAGTCCAGGTAATTGGTAAAGAAAGATTGTACTAGGGTATTAGCAGTGGGATTAGAGAGGCAGGGACAATATGACATGCTGCTGAGCTAGAATAGAAAGAACTTGGTAACTGATTAGTTATGGGATATGAGGGAAAGAGGAGAGGCAAAGATAGCACCAAAGTTTCAAGCACAGGTTATTTACTAAATGGATGGTGCCCCTGGTAGAAATAGTAACATCAGACAAACGTTAGGGATGCCAGATTAGCTCATTTTAGAATATATTGAGTTTGAAGAGATTGTGGGATACCCGAGGGCAGTTGTCATGTTTCCCCTAAATCTTCTCTGAACTAAACATTCTGACTTTCTTCAATCTGTCCTTCAATGCCATAGTCTCCAGTCCTTTCGTAAACCTGCTCATCTGCGGCTAGATCTACTCCAATTCATCAATATTCTTCCCAAAACACAACGTACAGAGTTCAATAACATAGTCAGGATATTACCAGGGAAGGATAAGGAATAGGGACTGGAACTGTGAATTCACTGGTAAATAGAACTTCCAGGTGAGGAAATTCCTGTGAGTGAAAGTCGGTACCTTCTCACAATTTATAATCTTAAAGAGTTGTCTATACCAGTGAGAGGTTAAGTGATTTGCCCAGGGTCACAAATCCAGTATGTGTCAAAGGTGGATCTTGAACCCAGCCATGTTCTTCTGGTTTTGAGACCAACTCTCTCTCCCCTATACCACACTGACTCTCCAGGAATAACAGGATTCTAAAATAAATGTTCAAGTAGGAGATGGTTCAATAACTCCATTATAAGCTGAACAGGCAATTGTAATTACAGAATTTCTACTGTGTAGCACCGTACGAGGTGCTGGGTACCCTATATTGATATCCTATGCAGCTTTTTCACACTCCTGAGATCTAAAGTGAGGGTCAGCATGAAACTTTTCATGCCATAGATGATTTGCTAAGGAGAACTTTCAGTCTTTTAGAGAAAGAATATTTTGCATATGTACAACTTGCAAATGAGCAGTCTGCTTTTACTAGACTGAGTGCTACATTCTTATTTTAAAAAAAAGCTGCAAGTACAATGCATTTCTAATTTTCACATTGTTTTTACATAAATTTGCATGTGGAACCCAAGAGGCTCTAAATCTAAGTATTGGAGTAAATTAAAATTAATTAACACATCATTAGAAGTTGCATTTCAGACTATGTCTTTAGACCATGATCTTTGGAGTGTATAACTTATTTGAAGATCACTTTAATTACATCCCAAATTAGGAGAAATGGGTGCATAAATGAGTAGACATATGATAGGCTGGGCATGAGTAAACACTTCATATTACCTAAACTTTTCCTGACCCCTGTGGTCTTCCTAAATGTGCAGAATCTTCACAAAAGCAGCTGCCAATTTCTACTCATCACTGCCTTGCTGAGGTTAAGTGCTGTGGTCTGTCCTGTTTAGGGGGAAGAAACTGCTGAAATGCAACTCGGTATGCTTTCTTGTGAATTTCTCATGGAATTATACCAAGGTGGTCACACGTTTATCAGAAAGAAGAACTGATAGGCAGAGCACGATACCCTGCAAATGCATGGGTAAGGATCGATGGAAGGGACAAATAAAAGTGATATTATGAGGGAGTATGCCATAGACTCCCCTTGCAGAAGGAGAAAATGGATGAAGAGTTTGAGAAATAAGACCATAAACCCTGTATGGAGGTATGACACAGATGCAGTGGATGGGTTTTGGAGGGACATTGATTATCTGGATATCTCCTGGAACTCTCTCTGCTAAAAGTAGAACAGCTAACAAATTCTTGACTTGCTTTAACAATTTATCCTTTTCTTTAAAAGATGAATAAAGTATCAAGAGGAACTGATATTTCAGACCTGACAATAATTAGGAAGAGTAGGTTGCTAAAGTAGAAATGATAAGAACTTTAAGAAGAAATGATTACTCATTCTTAGAACTTAGAATGAGAAAGAGGAAGGGCAGCCAGGCGGCAAAGTTCCTGGAGCTAGAAGCACCAGGTCTGGAGTCAGAAAGACTCATCTTTGAGTTCAAATCCAACCATAGACACTTCTTAGCTTTGTGACCCTGGGCTAGTCATTTAACCCTACTTGCCTCAGTTTCCTTATTTATAAAATGAGCTGAAAAAGGAAATGGCAAACCACTCCACTATCTTTGCCAAGAAAACTCCAAATGGGGTCCTGAAGAATCTGAAATGGCTAAACAACAATAAAAAATAATGGTTAGTCCTTTAGTTTGCAGTTCTCTGTAATCACTGAAAATGCTGCTATCAATATTTTTTATACACATGGCTGCTTTCCCTCTTTGTTCATTCTCTTTGGAACATATTATACTACTGAAATAGCTGGGCAAAGTTTGATAACTTTTTGGTCATATACCATAATTGCTTTCCAGAATGGTTAGACTAGTTCACAACTCTACCAAGTATACATTAATGTACCTGTTTTTCAAACAGGCCCTCCACCATTTGTTATTTCCCTTTCTTCTCCACTTTGTCATCTGATGAGTGTGAGGTAGAATCTCAGAATTGCTTTAATTTGAATTTCTTTCATTGTTAATGATTCAGAGCATTTTTTTTGAAATGGCTATTGAAAGTTTGGATTTTTTCCTTTGAAACCTGTCTCTATATACTATATTCTTTGTCCACTTACAAGTTGGAGAACAGCTCTTGTTCTTAAAAATTTGAAAAAATTTCCTATATTATCTTAGAAATCATATCTTTATCAGAGGAATCTGCTTCAGATATTTCTTTTCCAGTTACTTCTCCCTAATTCTAGCTGCATTGGTTTTATTTGTTTGAAAATGTTTCATTTTTACTTAATCGAAATTGTCCATTTCACCTTCTGAAATCCCTTATCCTTTATTTGATTATAAACTGTGCCACTATCCATAGATTTGAAAGTTAATTTGTTCTTTGCTCCTTTATTTTGTTTATGGTGTTATCCTTTATGTTTAAGTAATATCCCTATTTGGAGCTTATATTGGTATACAGTGTGAGTTGTTGATTTTTAACTAATTTTTGCCAGACTTCTTTCTAGTTTTCTCAGGTGTTTTTTCTTTAAATCAAATGGTGAATTCTTACTCCAATAACTGTGATTTTGGGGGGTTATCAAGGCTATTGTAGTCATTTATTTGCCTCTGTACATTGTGTACCTAATCTATTCCATAGATCAGCCCCTCTTTTTTCTGAGTCAGTATCAAATTATTTTGCTGGTTACAGTTTAGATTTTTAGAGCCATATTGAAAAAAAGGATGCAAATATAAGGAACTGAGGATGAATAATAATTAAAAAAGAATGGGTCTATAGGGATGATATTTGAGTGCTTAAGTTCGGAATAAACTAAGGCTGCTGTGTTGGTGACAAGAATAAGATAAAAAGAGGAATCAGGCCATTGTTTGGAGTAAAAAAAAATGATAATGAGTGATAGAGAGATGTCAGAATTACTCCATACAGAGTTATGGCCATGTCAGACTGGGTCAGAGATTTTTGTGTTG